AGGCAAACAAAAAGAGGTGAACTTGAAAAAGAGGCTTATAGGGATAAGGGTGGGCTGACAGGAGCGGGAGGGGGCTGAGAGAGGATAAGTCTGAGAACAATCAGATCGCTTATGAGCATTTATAGAATTGTCAAAACCAGATTTAATTATTAATAAAAATGACAACAGGAAAACAAATATCAACAATCTTCTTACTTAGTTTTCTTGATCATGCTGGGTAAGGGTGGCACACACCTTTAATCCCAGCACTGCGGAGGCACAGACACCAGATCTTTGATTTAGAAACCATCCTGGTCTCCAGATTTAGCTTCATGACAAGCAGAGATACACAGAGAAATCCTGTCTTGGAAAACTAAAACAAAACAAAACAAAAAAACAAAACAAAATCCAAAGACAACAAAACTCTTGATCTTTCTATTTTCTAGGCAGACTTTCGCTTTAAACTGTGAAGCAAGCTTGTTTCTAATTTAAATAAAAACAATCCTAAAAATATTCTGATCCAGGAAATAAATTCATTATCTTTTAAAAATAATATTTAAATATTTGCCATGCTGTAACATGCTTAAAAGCTAAATCTTCTGAATGAAAGTATGAATGTAATATGTAAGATTGATATCATGATGTTGCACAAATGATGTCTTAAATAGGCCTGTCAAATCAAATGTGGTATTGCCTAACTCTATCATGCTTTTTCAGAGTTTTAGTTCTATTTCTAAGTCATGCTTTTTCAGGGGTTTGGTTCTATTAGTAAGGATGTGTGGAAAAAGCAGGCCCCGAATACATAGGCAGTGAGCAAGAGTTCATATTAAGGTCATATATAAACATTTCCACAAATAGAATAAAACGAAATGCTGGTGCATGATGCTCTGCAGAGGATGCCGGTTGGTCAACAATTCAAACGGGGGACAAAGCAGATGTTTACACTGGAAATCATCCAGTGTCCAGACAATAAAGGGGTTCTGTTTTTATAGCATCATTGTTCTTTAGAAATCACTAATAGACACAGCACAGCCCTTTTTCTAAGAGGTTCTGTTGCTCATTTCTTTTGCTTTGCTTATCAAAGGCACAGTGGGGTTTATGTTTAGAGGACATCTATATAGGCCCTTTCAGTTAATCCAGCCAAACACAACGGTTCTATCATGTAAAGAAGGAAATGTATCTTTTGAATGCCATTCATTTTCAATTCTCAGAGAACTGCTAATGTCCATTCAGTGAATATATGCATTTATGAATTTCAAGAAAATATTTTACCTATTTAGGCTATGTATTTCCAAACACCAAGGTGTCAGGAAAGGCCTTTAATAGGAGCCCTTCGTGAAACTCCTGCAAAGGGAGATTATTTTCAGCTCCACTACTGTTACTTAAGATAATTCTGTTTCCATTAAGCTCCCAGGGTATGTGTTTAGCAACTGTGATGCCAATGAAAATTTAATTAAATAATCTTAAATACATGTACTAAAGGCTCAGATGACGAACTTTAGTTCCAGATTCTCCTTTGCAACGTCTTAATTTATTCTGGAGTCTACATTGTTTTATTTAATTGAAAGTCAATAACTGGGAATGAAAAACTAGCACATTCACCAATATTCTATTTTGTAAATCTTGATCAATTACGTGAATAATGAAGATTTCTATTTCGTATTTGTCTTAGATCAGATATATTGTCATAATATTAAATATCTTTATAAAGTGTTTATATTTGCATATACATTTTGAAAATACACATATGTATTCAAAAAATGATGAATTATAAATTAGGATGTTATATCCATAATATCAAGTGTATTTGACTAAAATGTAAATTTGGGCTACCAAAAATCAATCCTATTAAGTCTATACAAACTAAAATTTATTTTCAGCTGTACTTTGTTATTCACATATAAAGTATTTGAAACTCATTGTAAACTCATTTTGAAAGACCCTGGCCCAGTCTAACAGGCAGCTGAGAGCAGAGGCTTATGGAAAATTCCGTTCCTCCACAGCTGCATAGTCATTGCCTATCAAAAGAAAGCTCAGCCTAAGGACACAGGCTGCCTGGTGGCAAACACAAAGATATCTGTGGGCGGTCGGATGGGCAGCCCAGCAAGGATGAGCAAACACAAAGATATCTGTGGGCGGTCGGATGGCCCGCTCAGCAAGGTTGAGCAAACACAAAGATATCTGTGGGTGGTCGGATGGCCCGCTCAGCAAGGTTGAGCAAACACAGAAACCGATTGTTCCTCGGACAGGGCCAAGACTAGAGTTCCAAGAAAAACCTCAATTGCCCGCACTCCGAACCCTAGCCTCATTTGAATTGTCCAATCTGGGTCCTGTTACTAAGCTTCTCGCTTCTGTCCCGCGCTTTTTGCTATAAAAGAACCCCTGAGTCCCCAGCTCGGCGCGCTGAGACTGAGACGCCCGGGTACCCGTGTGTTACCAATAAAGCCTCTTGCTGTTGCATCCAAGCTCGTGGTCTCGTTGTTCCTTGGGTTCGGGTCTCCCTTCCGTGAAAGTATCCCTTTTGGGGTCTTTCAATTTTAAAAGAAATAATTAAAGTTACCAACATAGATACATATCAGTGTTTGATATTTTAGCATCAACCTTGTATTTGATACTTACATTTTGACTTTTTATGGTTTTGCCCCCTCAAACATGCCTACATATATTTGTACTAGACATATGGATTACTCGGTCATAACTTAAAAGATGACGATAGAAACACTTGCCTTTATTTCAAAAATACAGGATTCCAAATCCTGAGGATAATGAGTTGAAGATTAACCTGGAATGAAAGGCAAGATCAAATTTAAAAGAAGAAATTCAATGGGAGAAATTTAATAAACAAATCACCTTTTTTAAATCCAAGTACCTTACTGTGATTTCTTTTTTTTTTTTATTTTATTTTATTTTATTTATTTATTTATTTTTTTCTCCAGATTTATTTTGGTAAAAAAAAATCAGATATAACCTTTCAAAAATTACATTAATGTTTAACATGCATTCAAATAACTTTCTTTTTTTTTCCAGTTTAAATTTAGATAAGAAACGCGGTTGCTTTACAAGTCAGTTCCAGGTCCCGCTCCCATTCCCTCCCCTCCTCCCGTGCCCTCCCCCCCAACCCCACCCTATTATCCCCTCATTACCCCAGGGAGGGTGAGGCCCTCCATGGGGGTGTCCATAGTCTGTCATTTCATATAGGGCAGGGCCTAGACCCTTCCCCAAGAGTTCAGGGTGAGAGTGCACCTCACATTGTTTTATGGGAGTCCAAAGTCCGTGTGTATACTTGGGATGGGTACTGATCTGCTGCCCAAGGCTCAATAGGTTCCCTAGGCCTCCTCATTGACACCCAAATTCAGGGGGTATTGATCAGTCCCATGCTGGATTCCCAGGCTGATGCCTGGGATTCAAGAGTTAACCTTTGTCTGGTCAGCTGTTTCTGGGGGTTAAACCAGCCCAGTCTTAATCCCTTTGATCATCAGTCCTCCCTCTCTGTTACTGGCTTTCTTGAGTTCAGCTCAGTACTTAACCGGCCACTAAATAAAGTTTCTGTTTCCCAGACTCTCTGGCCATAGGATTGTAGGCTGGCACTCCCCAGATCTATGTCTAAAATCCATATATGAGAGAGTACATGCCATGTTTCTCTTTTTGTGACTGGGTTACCTCACTCAGGATGGTTTCTTCTAGTGTCATCCATTTGCCTGAGAATCTCATGATTCCATTATTCTTTTCTGCTGAATAGTACTCCATTGTGTAGATGTACCACATTTTCTCTATCCACTCTTCGGGTGAGGGACATCTAGGTTGCTTCCAAGTTCTGGCTATTACAAATAAAGCTGCTATCAACATAGTGGAACAGACATCTTTGTTGTATGAATGGGCATCTTTTGGATATATGCTTAAGAGTGGAGTTGCTGGGTCGTGTGGTAGGTTTATTCCCATTTTTCTGAGGAATCTCCATACTGATTTCCAAAGTGGCTGAACCAGTTGGCACTCCCACCAACAATGGAGGAGTGTTCCCCTTTCACCACATCCTTTCCAGCATAAATTGTCATTGGTGTTTTTGATTTTAGCCATTTTGACAGGAGTGAGATGGTATCTCAGAGTTGTTTTGATTTGCATTTCCCGGATGGCTAAGGACGTTGAGCACTTTCTCAAGTGCCTAAATTAGATACATTAATGCTTCACATATCAATCCCAGCTTGTTCTCCCACTCCTCCTCCCCTGTCTCTGCACCACCCTTCCCAGCCCTCCAACTACTCTTCACATCATTCCCCAGGGAGGGTGAGGCCCTCCTTGGGGGGGAATCTCCAAATTCTGTCATTTCATCCAGGGAAGGACCTAGGCCCTTCCCATGTGTCCAGGCTGAGAGAGCATATCTCTCTTTGGAATGGGGCTCCCAAAGATCATTCATACACCATGGTAAACACTGATCTACTACCAAGGCCCCAGTGATTTCTGTGGGCTCCTCACTGACACTACATTTATGGAGTCTGGATCAGTCTCCTGTTGGAGATAAGGGGATTCAAGATTTCCCCTTATCTGGTCAGCTGTCTTTGTGGGTTTCACCATCATGGTCTGGACCCCTTTGCTCATCACTCCTCCATCTCTGTCATTAGATTCCAGGAGTTGACTTCAGTGTTTAGCTTGGGTATCTGTCTCTGCTTCCATCAGTCACTGGATAAAGGTTCTAGGATGGCATATAAGGTAGTCATTAACCCTATCATCAGGGAGGGGTTATTAATGTAGTCTCTCCACTATTGCTTAGTTTACCAGTTGGTGTTATCCTTGTAGATCTCTGGAGATCTCACTAGTGTCAGCTCTCTCTTCAGCCTATAATGACTCCATCTATTGTGGTATCTCTCATCCTGCTCTCCTCTATTCTTACCTCGACTCAATCTTACTGCTCCCCCATGCTTTCTCCTTCCCTCCTCTTGTCCCCTTCTCTTTTTCCTGGTTCCCTCTCCCCTCCAGGTGCTGGGCAAAGGCTGAGGCAAGCATCACCATGGATAGCAGGCCGGGCCATGACCCCTGAGGCCTGCAACTGCAGGCTCGTTGCCTGGTGCCCTACATGGCCACCAGCGGCAGCGCCCAGCGTACCCCAGAAAGAGGCCTGCAGAGGTGACACCATGGGACTGAAGCCCTACTGTATGAAAGGCTTTAAGATGGGTGTCAGCAGCAGCAGCAGCAGCAGCAGCAACTATGACAAGGCACCTGTGTTAAACGACGAGCACCTGAGCATACCCAACATCATCATTACACCCCCAACCCCGAGGAGCATGGGGCTGGCCAGAGACTCCAAGCAACCAGCCTGGATAGATGCCTGGTCAGCATCTTACCAAGACACCAGCGAGTTGAATCCTGAAGCCTCAGAAGTCACCAACTGGTGGGACCTATATGGCCGCTTCCTGCCTCACTGCCCCTTGTCCCAGGTGTTGGGCACATGGCTACCTGGATGAGGACAGTGAACAAGCCCTGATCCAAGACTGGAATGTCCAGAGAAACACAGCAAGGTTCTGGCCACAGTGAAGCAGACGTCTGCTGCCTCCGTGTTCTCACCAACCACCTCTCCCCCAGACCCCAGCTTGGTGAAGAGGAGATGACCCTGCCCTACGGCCACTGTGACCATGGGCCCTGGCCTTCAAGGTCACAGCACACAAGGACTTCTCTCCAGAGCAGCGCCTCTGTTTTTTACAAGTTGTTTTACAGGTACAGAACCCACATCCTGAGAGAGATTTATAAATAAATCTTCTTTGTGAAACAACAACAACAACAACAAAACAAATCACTTTTTTATATTTACTAAAATTACTAAAGACACCTGGAAAAATAATATTGATATTTTGTAGCAAGTAGATAGAAACCTAATTGAGTAAGCTGAAATGACTTACTGTGTTGCAATAAAGACAAATACATAACTTCTCTATGTCTCAGTTTTCTGTTACGAAAATTGACATGTGTGTTATACCATATTGTTACTTTAGTATTTGAGATGGGTTTACGGAATACTGCCTAGAAACAGAAAAAAAAACTAAGAAATCCATCATAAATATTAAGCAGATTAGGAGAATGAAAACCCCAACTATCCTGTCATGTTGTTCTTTCTTTTATGATTATTTTATTTATGTAAACGTTTATTTATTTATTGTGTATATGTATCTTTATGACTGTGTTACACATACACGTATGTGTGGGTGTGCACACCAATGAATATTAAATCCAGAAAAAGATGTCAGATTTACCAGGGAAGGAACTAAAGTCACTGTTAGGAAACTTGGCTCATCACTTGGGTATTGGGATCTGAATTTTAGAATCATTATTATTTAGCAAATACTCACCAGTTTATAGTAACAGTGATGATGAATTTTGATTTTTTTCATATTTTTTCTTTATTGAAAATATATTCTTTTCTCATATAATATATTCTGACAATAGTTCCCCTTCCCACTACTCCTTCCAGTTCCTCACTTGTAGGGGGAAACTTAGTACTCTGCTGTTAGCCATGTGGAGTATTAGCGGCGCATACAGATGAGGTAATAAAAGGACGGTTTATTGCAGCACTAACCATATCCACCTTAAGCGTGACTAAAAATGCATACAGACGTAGGTGGTGAACTATGTCACTAGCCAGGCCCACTTTTGGGCATGGCTAGGGGTGTGTATGGAGGAAGGAATAAAAAACCTAGCAGCAGAACCTCTTGCCCTTTTCAGCTTCCAGTTCTGTGGTGGGAAAGTACTCGACTCATCTGTGTTGCTTGTTTTTGTCTTGTGAATAATTTCTACAATAAACAGTTACCATACTCTCAATAAGTGTGCCGCTTATCGTTGCAGCATCACTGGCCACCTCCCATCCCCTCTCGACCCACTCTTTCTGACTCTCATCAGAAAAGAACAGGCTCTAAGAGATAGTGACCAAACATGCAAAAGTAGATTTATAGTAAGATCAAGTGAAAAACTGTCATATGGAAATTGGACAGGACAGCAAAACAGGAGGAAAAGAGTCACCAGAGCAGATATAAGAGTCAGAGACTCACTAGTTCTCATAGTCAGGGGTCTCAGAAAAATACTAAAGCTAATAGCTATGATATATATTCAGAGGACCAGGATGGGTGTCCTATTTTATAACTGGATTATTTGGTTTGGGGATATGTAATTTCTTTAGTTCGTCATATAGTTTGGGTATTTGTCCTCTATCAGATATGGAGTTGGTATAAGGTCTTTTTTTCCCATTTTGTAAAACGCTGCTTTGTCCAGTTGACAGCATCCTTTGCTATACAGAAAATTTTCAGTTTCATGAGGTGCTGTTCATTGTTGAGCTTAGTGCCTGAGCTAGAGGTTCTCTGTTCAAGAAAAGTTGTGTCCCGTGTTAACGTGTTCTAGGCTGTTCACCACTTCTCTTCCGTCAGGGTCAATGTATCTAGTTTTATGTTTGTGTCTTTGATCCACTAGGACTTGAGTTTTGTGCATGATGATAAGTATGGATCTATTTGCATTCTTCTCCCTGCAGCTATCCAGTTTGTCCAACACATTTTTTTAATGAGTATTTCTGGCTTCTTTATAAAAATGACAACAACAACAAAAAAAAACCCAAAATATATCCACGGGTGTGTGGGTTTATTTAGGGGTCTTCAATTTGATGCCATTAATCAAAATGTCTCTCTGTATGGCAATACCATGTGGCTTTCATTACTATAACTCTATAGTGCAATTTGTAATCAAGAAAGGTGGGGACGACCTGCCACATGAGCTTTCCTGGTAAGTCTATGATAATTAAGCTCTTTCTCATGATTCTTCTCTACAAATACTATTTATTCTATGGCAATGTAACTAGTTTTAGGGCTACTTTACTCAAAATTTTAGCTAAATTTGATAGATATTTTAAAGCTTGAAATAACCTGTGCAACATGAGATATGTTAATTCTACAAATAAGTGCTGGCATTGATCTTACACATAATAAATCTGTAATAGAGTCAAGTCACTAATACTACCTGTTTTTATGTATAGTAAAAAAATAGCAAGTATAAGGGCCAGGTTGTAGCATTTGCCTTATGTAGCAGAAATGGTCTTCAATAATCTTTCTTTTTCATTCTAGATAGGCAACTGGAACAATAGGGAATATTTTCTCAGTTGTCAAGTGGCTGAGTTTTGTAAGATTACTACTTTTCCTCTTCATTTTTTAAAGTGGACTGCCATGATTGTAAGATTTTAGATGATGAGTGGAAAATGATACTTACAAGATTATAGAGAAGAGGAAGCACAATGCTGGCTTTGAATTCTCAACAGCTAATAGAAAACTAAAAGATGGAGGCGAAATAACTTCTAAAATAATAAGGAAAGTCATTTTCAATTTAGAGGTATGAAAGAGAAAATTAAGAAGGCAATGTAGTCTAATAACATTTTAAAGTAGCTTAATACTCACTCTTCCTTGATAGTCACATTATTTCATTTTGGGGAAGTAATTGGATGACAGACACTATTAAAGCAAAGTACGTAAAGGAAGATGGAGAAGGGAAATGAGAGTGTGGCCTACTTCTCATAAGTTTGGTCCCAATGCAGTTATGAACTATAGCTATTTCTCTTCTTTCAAAAATGTTTGCTTCTTGCTCACTTAGTTGCATGTGTATGTGCACCTGTGTTTATGGGAAGCATGTGCATGCCGGTGCTCCTGGAGGCAGGCTGAGAGACAGTGGACGGTTCCATGGAACTGGAGTTCTATGTAGTTGAGAGTCTTAGTATTTGGTTACTAGGAATTGAGCCTACACCCTCTGCTAGAGCAGCCAGTACTATTATCGTTCCGCTGTCCCCAGCCACTAATTCACTGTTTTATGGCTAAAATCTGTTCTAATTGTTAGTGCCCTGCTCTGGCTCTGTTTGTACACCGATGACTTGTTGGCTTTTTAAATTTTTTTGAATCATTAATTTGGAAAATGCTGGAAGTAAGATTAAGTATATAGGGAGTCTGTATACACACTGCAATGAGTGAAATAAAATATTTGAGGTTTTGTTTAAAAGCTGTGCTAAATTTCTACTAGAATTAATATTTTAAGAATTAATTTTAGAAAACACACAGTATAACTGAATTAGTTATAAGCAGAAAGATAAGATATGGATATAGGATATATACCAAATAGATGAAAAAGTAAAAGTTGGAGTAGAATGCATCCTGTTTAAGCTTTACTAGATAGCTCACAGATAAGTAAATTTATGGGTGACTAAGAAGTGTATTGTAGATTATAGGATGGGGGAGCAGTGCCATATACACAGTAACACAATAGGTCTTCATTAAGTAGACTACCTTTTGAAACCTAATTGATGGAATAGGTGGGAGATCAAACAATGTTGCTCACACTAAAGAAGTCAAGGACTTTTTAGTTTTTCAATCAATGAAGTTGTGGCACTGAAGAACTGGAGGATCCCTGGAGAGCCATTGTCCTTCACTCTAGTTTGGAATGCTGTAGAAATTTCATTTGATGCCATCACAAGCACAGCAGGAGAGATGAACTTACTATCAAGGGTGGGGGCAAGAAGGAAAAGAGTATATATTACTTCTCCCACAGTTTTTCATCAGATCTGTCACCAGAAGGCATCAAATAACTACATGGTGGGACTTTGTGTTTTAAATAATCTGATGCTAAAAATCTCTCACAGGGTTGCCTACCAATTTGTGTTTTTATTTGATTCCAGATGCATTCAATTTGACAGCCATGATTATGCATCACAGTAAACATATGATGTAGACATCAGTGTAAAAGGAATGACCAATAAATGGAAAATGATCACCTCATAGTATATGAGTACAAAAGAATAGGGACTCAGACATAGAAAAACTTTTATAAACATTTGAATTACTGCAGCAGTAATTAAATTAATGGATATCTTATCACTTAAAGTTATGAAAGTTTTATGTGGGTGATTAGAAAATACTCGATGTCTGACTGTCAAAAATAAATATAAACTAGGCATTAAAGGGCAGAAGTCTCTGAAGCAAATGAAGTCAAGCAGCATATTTATCCTGATAACTTGAAATTAGAATTCAAAACAAAATTATTAAGGGCATAAAGATATATGTCTCCTTATCACACACACACACACACACACACACACAATATCTCAATGATTGACTTGCAGTTTTATATTAAAAATCACAATTTTAGATGATAAACAATGGGCATAAGTTCTTATTAATATGTAATTTCAATATTGAAATCTTGTCTTTATATATGGTATTTAAACTATAAACAATAATGAAAGTTTAACATAAATTACATAACAGATAAATTGAATGGACAGCTATCTACAAGTCTATATGTGGAATAATCTTTCTGTGCACTGTGAATAAGTATTACTCTTTTTGATTAATAAAGAAGCTGATTGGTCTATAGCAAGGCAGGAATAAGTTAGGTGGGACAATCCAATTATAATGTTGGATTGAAGAAGGGCAGCATCATGAGTGCCAGT